AGCTGACAGCACACACTGAGGCTGAGAGCACTGACTGCGCTGCAGCTGGTCTGCCTTAACCCTGAGCTGACAGCACACACTGAGGCTGAGAGCACACACTGAGGCTGAAAGCACACACGGAGGCTGAGAATACTGACTGTGCTGCAGCTGGTCTGCCTTAACCCTGAGCTGAAGGCACACACGGAGGCTGAGAGCACTCCCACTTTGGTCCCAGTTCGTTTTTAATGACGTGATGATCACTGGTGTGTGGGTCCTCTCTGGGCTCCACTGCTCCTGCCACTGTGGACACACCAAGGATGAGTGGCCCTGGTCTGCCTGGATGTCCCCCTCAGCGTGGGCACTCTGAAGGCTGCTGAGCTCCATTTTCTGCCTTTGTGGCCCTGGTCTTGCTTTTGGAGTCTAGAGTTCTCTGTGGGGGAGCTCCACTGGTCCTATGTCCCTCCACAGTCACAGGCAGTCCCTGACCTGGTTCAATGGAGAGGCCGGAGACTGGCCTTGAAAGTCTTTCCCCTTAGACCCGTGGTGAGATCTTGAAACTGTCCCACTGCAAAGCTGAGTGGCTGGTCTGCCTCATGGGGAGGACCATGACAGGGCCATGTGCTTGGTGCCACGTGTCCTGGAAGACCAGGGTCCATAGCTCTTCAGCCTTGCACCCCGTCAAGGAAGACCTCCTTCCAGCTCTCAGCCTGGAGGAGACCGGCTGCCAGGTCCTTGGCCTTGCATCTTGGTCTTGGATTTCAGGAGCCTTTTGTACTTTAGTTTGGAGGAAGTCCAAGGCCTTCTGCACCCTCTGCTGAGGTTCTGCTCCAAGCTCTGGCACCTCAGGGCCATCACGCAGCCCTGACCCCCTGGAAGGTGGTCATAAAGGTATCTAGGATGCAGAACCTCAGGGTCTTCACACAGCCCTGGCCCCCCTGGAAGGTAGTCATAAAGGTATCTAGGATGCAGAACTTCAGGGTCTTCACACAGCCCTGGCCCCCTGGAAGGTAGTCATAAAGGTATCTAGGATGCAGAACCTCGGG